CTGTCCATAGGGGGACCCAGCTCCCCGCTGGGACCCCCACAGACAGAAGCTACTACAGTGCTTTTAAGCCAGCTCCCCCTAGCACCAGCTCCTGTCCTCCCTCCCCCTTGCTGCTTCTAAGAGGTAGCAAGGGGAGGGAAGCAAGCATTCGATACTCCAGTCGACTACTTGCTAACATCCCTAGTACACAGTATAAAAAAGATTGGGAACCACTGGCTTAGGTAAGCATCTCCTGGCCAGAGCCTGCCTCTGGCACCCCACACTCTCCCATACTCAACCCACTCCCAGACTCTGCACCCATCCCTCCATGCCTCCCCTAGGCCAAAATTCTCTTCTGTACCCAGACTCCCTCCCAGATCCTGCACCCTATCTCCTGCCCCAGGTCACAACCCTGTCTTTCATCCAAACTCCCTCTTATACCCCATACTCTCCTGTACCCCAGTCTCCTACCTTGAGCTCCCTTCTGCACCCAATCTCCATACCAGACCCTGCACCCAACCTCCACACCAGACCCTGCACCCACTCCACACAAAAGTGCAGCCTTTGATCACTTACCCAAAATCTTGGAGTGCCCCCCTCATCAAAAATTATTGCCCATCCCATCCTATACCTTGCTCTCAGCCAAGGGGATTGTATCACACCTCACACACTTGGAGTACATCTACACTACAGAGGAAGACCAAAGGTGCTGCTGTCGATCTTCCAGGGTTTGAATTAGCAGTCTAGTTAAAACAGGTAATTAGAAATGAGAGGGACACTCCAGTTGATGCCAGTAACCCTGCTTTCACGAGGAGTAAGGGAAGTCAAAGGAAGAGTGTTAAGGTAGCTGAAGATGTGATTGAAGTTATTCAATCATTTTTAAAGACTATCACTATAAAGGATAAAGGAAATTCAATAAAACCCTACGACAAAATAGTAAGCACAGAGGAGTGCTATCTAAAACAACACACTTAAACAGAAAACTAAGGTATTTATATAGCACCTAAAATAATTGGCCGTGGTAGTCCATTAAATCCAAGCTGTGTCAGGCCAACTGCAGTCAATAAAACTGTAGACTGTATCTAAGCACAAAGATTTATAATGCTGAGGAACAAATAAAGCTAAGGCCATACATTCAATGTCATCTTTCACGTTTTCTGACAAAAGTTTTGCATATGGAATTGCTTTTTTTTTTTTTCTGTTTATGGGAACCTTTTTTCTTCAAGTGTACTTCCACTTACATACACATGCAAGTAACATGATGAATAGCTCCCACTGTTGAGGCAAAAAACCAGCTCTATGCCACTGACACATCCTAACCCATTTCCTGAAGTGGACCTTTCCTTGAAGAGTGCCACTTCTGTAAAGCGTGCATCTGTCCTAGGAATGCAACCTAAAGACCTATGTGAAGAGGCAGCATTTAGGCTCCCATCTTAATGTAACCTGACAAGCAGTTTTAATGTCTAAGGTAACAACCGAAGGTGGGATAAAACTAGTTTCTCGCTCTGAATGTACACAAGCTAAGTGATGTGATGTTTTATGTGATGAAACAGCAGTCAGACTGTGCCTGACCAATGCCGTCTAATTAGTTTGCAAAGGTGAGTATCTCTGATATTCTAAACACAAGGGCATAGCAACACATCCACAGCCCCCAGCAAAGGTTCCAGATGGTTGCACTAGGCAATTGCTTACCTGTGTTGAGAGCTCTCATATAAAGATATAGCATTGTGGGCTTCTACCATGCTAGACCAGATTTCATTACACCTTTAAAAAACAAATCCCATCTCAGGAAATGACATGCAATAGAAGTCTTAATACAAAGATTTCTCTTAAAGAAAGCGAAGAATAAAACAAATTAAGGTTTACTACAATAACCCTGAGATTTATAACGGACACCATTTGGCAACCAGTTTTCACCACCTGCCAAACCTCAATTAAATGCTACATTTATTATGCACATAAATAAGGGGAAATAGTGAAACTGACTCCACACAAAGTGATAAAGAAAAAAAAATCATTTTTCTCTAGCCTCTTACTACTACAATAACCTTGTAACAAAAGTAAAATTTTCTGATAGATGATTTATAAAAAATTAGTAGTGTTCATGAATACCAATTGCACTTTACTCAAAAATTACTTGACTATATGAACTTTGCTCTGCAGTCATTTTCCTGTGGCTAAATAATCTGGTTCTACCTATCTTGAGCACTGACAAAAAATAATTGTCTTAATGTAAGAAGAGCTATAAAAGTTCCAGTGTATGCACACTACATTACACCTATCCACTTTAAATATTCCAGTTTCCTGGAACATTAAACACAGTAAGGCTTTTGATACACATTTCTAATAGACTTTACTAGAGGTTTGGAGGGAAGAGTACACAAGTTCAGACATGTTACTACTCATGCCATATCACAAAACTCAAAGCTGTTCTAGACACCTGAAACTTAACTTGACCACTAAAATAAATCTGACCAGCACATTTTTCCCCAGTACTTAAACATAAGGTGCCAGATGCCATTCAGTGTCAGCTAGCCAATTTTCTGGATTACATAACATCTGGAGGGGATGGTAACACACGCAGAATGATAGATAAATACGTTATTTAATGAAGGGCAGTTATTATCCCAGATATATTGTCCATAAAATGGTCACTGATTATGCTATCCACATAACCTCCAACAATAAGTGATAATTTAGTGTCAAAGCAACACAGCGAACTTAACTCAGTACCAGGGAAGAGTATCAAGTCTGCCAAGAGGCAATAAAAGCTAACCCCATGACACACTTCTCCCCTCAATCACAAAGAACTCCTCACCAAAAAGCATATTCTGGTGGTGTACAGAACATAAGCCAGAATCTAAAAGACCAAAAAAAATTGAAGCAGCTTGGATTTTGTCATCCAAAGGAAATGATTTAGAAAAAGGGGGAGAAAAATATAGTTCAATTAAATGTTGAATTGATAGCTCTTGATCATCAAGGGAAAATAACCATGGAAATCTGTGCAATATCTGGGTGCACTCTACCGGAAGGGTTTTTACTGTATTGGTAACTTATTAGGCAGGGGACTTTCTTAAAGCCATGATTCTCAGTTAGGTTTACATGTACCTTATGGGAGTACTCAGAGATCTTCCAGGGGGTACATCAACTCATCTACGTATTTCCCTAGTTTTACAAGAGATTACATAAAAAGCACTAGCAAAATCCACACAAACTAAAGTTTCATAGAAAATTAATTCTTTATACAGCTTTGTATGCTTTACACTGAAATGTAAATACAATATTTATATGCCAATTGATTTATTTTGTGGTATGACATTTTATATGGTAAAAATGATAAAGTAATCTGTAAAACTCAATTAGCATCTGCTCCAATCCCTCAATTCACATACTAGAAACAGTGTTAACATTAAAGATATGAATTTAGGCACACAAATTTGAAAAGGTCAGTCTAAATGGTGACCAATTTAAAATTTTGAACAGTACTCCCCAAACCATGTTATGTCATTTAGGTTTACTCCTTTCATACAAAAGCGGAACAGTCTGAGCTGTGTACAAACCAGCATCCAAAAGTTAAACATGGCAAAAAAAGCGTGACTAATTGTGTTGAAAATTCATTAAATAAAAACAGTTGTCAGAATTGCTGACACATGAGGTTTTACCCAAGACTTATTTTTATGAGTGATTTATTCATGCCTGAAAGTAGTAACAAAAGTATTAAGTAGCCGAGCAATATTCCTGAAGACAAAGAGTATATTCCTAATACAAAACAGAATATTACAGACGCACAAAAACATGCCTTTATGTTAATATGATAACTTTTGAGTTCACACTGTTTCCTCCAAGGAAAGTACAGAACATATAGCAGACAGTTCGCATTTATGTTACCATTCCAAAACATTTGAATAGGAAATATTTTGTCATGAACACACTTACCCCAAAGAAACTCAGCACCGCCTTACGTGACACCTTGCTTGGATAAAAGAGGCTATCTTAATATGGATCCAACATTTCCTGATCAATCTTTTCCCAAAAAGACACTCTCCAGTGTTAAATAAAACAGGGCTCTAGCCAAATGTATGACTAAATATTACACTGTTTTCACTGTTATCCTTTCAAAGGAAGTTTACTCACTTTGTAAGTGGGATTTTTTTTCTCATTGCCACCTGGACCTGTAAGTCAAACTAGATCTTTCTACCATTGATGTTTAACACCTGAAATTTCAATTCAGTAACTTGCTGTGATGGTTGAAACAGAAGAGACTGCGGCTCACTTTCATATAACCTTGTGAGTATTGTGAGGCAAACAGGAATAAGACGTCGTCTCACCAAAGTTAACAAATGTACTGGGAAAGATGCATGGGGAACAAGATACCACATTTTTATTCCAATTGCCTTTACATGACCCTGGGGAAGCCAGCAGGACTGGTCAGCAGGTGATGTCAGCAGGAGAGGGTGCTCATGCCTCCTTGGTCCCCTTCAGCAGTGCAGATCTGGGCTGCATCCCGGCTGAGAGAGAAGTTGGAGACTGAGCGCCCCATCACCCCATCCCATCCAGCTGCAGACAGGCTCCCCAGAGAAACCCCCGCACGCTCAAGACTGTGACAGGAAAAGCTCCCCGAGGAGGGGGGGCACCTGAGAACTCTCCCCGGGCAGACTGCGTGCGGGTCCAATTGCGAGTCTTTCCCCCGGAGCGCACGGAACCCCCGAGCCGCGGGGCGCGCCCAGCAGCTAGGAAAAGGCTGCCCGGGCACCGGGGCGCCTCTGCCAGGCGGACCGCGATCAGAAGGCAGGTGCCGACAGACTCCGCAGCCCTACCTGGCCGGCCCCCCCCAGGCCT